CTGGAAAACGTGCTGGTAAGATGCTATTTGATAGACATGAAGTTTCCCCAGCTTCTCAAAATATTCCTTTTGTATCAGCGAGTCTTTACGGTGCCACATCTTACCCTGCATAGGACCTGGCCATTGATTGGCCGAAATAAGACTCTTCATTTTTTCAAACTCGGCATTACCTATTTGTGAGATAACTTCACTTTTTGTTTCATCAAAATAGGTATCGAAAACGATAAGACCGAGATCGCCCCAGTTCGTAACTCTTGCAGGGAGGCCAGAGACATTTTTCGTTGGCTCCTGGGCGATGACGAAAGAAACATGCAATAGCAGGATCGCTAGTAGCGTACTTGTTTTCATACAATGTTAAATAAGGTTTGATGTGTTTACTTTTGTTCTTTGACGTACTTCTCTTCAACCATGAAATACAGGGTGTCCCATTTTACCTGTGCGTCCCAACCGTTATTCTCGCTATATGGAACGCATAGTACAGCCCACCGGGCCCATTTAGTGCCCTGGAAGACGTGCTGGTAGGTTGCGATCTTATAAACATGCAGTTTGCCGAGCTTTTCCTGGTGTGCTTTCTTTTGTAAAGAGTCAGCTTTCTTCCACATATAACCCCCAATCTCTACTGGCCAATGAGTTGCAGTGCTATTGTTTTTAAATCTTGCGTATTCTGCCTCACCCAATTGCGCAACAAGCGTATCCTTCATATTATCATACACCGGATCGGTGATCATAAGAGCAAGTCCATTCCAATTTGTTACGATAACCGGGATGCCTTTATCAACTTTCTTTGCGGGTTGGGAATGCGAGCTGTAGGCATGCATCAGTAGGATACCAAGTGCACAGTAAATTTTCATGATAATTATTTTTGATGAGGGTTTTAAGGCAATGAGGTTGAATAGCATACCCTTGGCGTTGGTACGGCAGTTTTGACGCTTGTTCCTTTTTAATTCACCACGGGCTGCTATTAATGGCCAATGAATAGAATTTTGATTTTTTTAAATTTCCCCTGACTGTATCGGCTGGTATTTTCACCGGTATTGAGAATACTGGGTTATTTCTCCGTTTTGATATATTTTTCTTCTATCATGAAATAGA